AGCTGTATGCCTCCACCAACCATGAAATGCCAAGTATTCATATTGAATATACTCCTGTTTGTCTGAAGTTTCTCAGGCAGTGTCTGCTGTTACCCATATGATGATTCAGATAAAGTTACAGATGAAAGGAACTCTGCAGCATTACTCAGAGCAGAAGCTGCTCTAGACACTGCAGTGAAAAAAAACTCGATTCTGAAACGTTACTAACCCCTTCATCTCACAGTTAAATCCTTCAGCTCATTTACAAAGGTAAAACAAGACTCAAGAGTGTGTTCTCTTAACAAGCTAACAGGAACTCCACCCCAGTGAAACTTAACTTAGAAAAACCGAATTCTTATAACACAGCCCCATAAGATTAGGTTGAATCATTAATTTCACTTCAAAGCCTGAGAAAAGCTCTGCTGCCTGCAACTGGAAGGGGCCCACTGAAAACAAACAAACAAAGAAAGGAACAAACAAGCAGGGGCAGCTAAGAGGATTAGTCAAAAAGAACAATGGAGAGACTCATTAGGTCGAAAGCTGAGATCTTATTTTTGTTTAAGCTCACATTACAGCACACGAAGGTATTCTTCTGCGATGATCAAGCTTTCCTGAGCGTTTTGAAATCAATATATTTGTTCGACACACTCACGGGCCGGTGCAGGCACATTTCAGCTCGACTGCTCTGCAGTCACTGTTTGCAATCAAGCGATTCGCTGTGCCTGAGCAACTACACAAAGCTCATCAACATACTTCCCCTAATTAGGCTTTTTGCTCTTCAGAAAAATACAGCAAACTCATGCAGAAGGAGCACCGACCTCTGCCCTCGCAGCCCACTGGAGAGCTGAGCTAAGCACCATTCCCAGCCATTTCCTCATCTCCGCCCTGTGCTTAACGGCCTTGCAGCAAACATTAACCTGGCTATTCACGGCCAAAGCTCTTTGCACGCAGAGGAGTACTCAGAATTGAGAAATGGTGTTTTCCAGATGAGCACCGTTAACGTGCTTAACTTGAGGCAATGCAAACAGTTAACAGGGATGCCTCAGACACAGCAGGGCCCCCCGCAGCAGCACAAAGGGATGCGGCGAGCATGCTGCCGTGAGAGCCAAGCACCGGCTCGCGGGGCCGCCCTTGGCACCAAGGGGAAATGGTGCACAAAAGATTTCACGTTAGAATCTAGAGCCTCCTTCCCATAAGAAATCGGAAAGTATTCTGGATTTGGAAAGTATTTTGATCGGGAACATGTTATGTTAAACGGAATATAAAGGCTTAAAAAAAAAAAAAAAAGAAAAAAGAAAGAAAGAAAGAAGCGATTCTTGAACCTCGGCTTCAATCATCCGTTTGTGTCATAGGAACTCCTCTATTCTATCTTTGCAAGAACTGCTTTATGCTCCTTTCAGCCTGCAGTCCCAGTTTAAAAATAGCCCCTCTGGCAGCGCTGCAACATGCGGCAAGATCTGCACGCTCATCGCGAAGAGATTTATCGGAAACGCATTCTGCAGGGAAATGCAGATGCAAAATGACGCAGCGCTCCGAGCCATGATGTAAGGCGGGCAGCGGCGCTCCCGGCGCTGCGGGGACGGGTCACGGCGGGCCGCGTCCTGAGAAAGGCCTGAGCAACACCCGCGTTATTGAGACATCTTAAGCCCGATTCGAACTCGATGGCCCGGCGCTTCCCCCATAGCCTCTTTCGCGGCGACCGCCGTGACTCAGGAGCCCCGCAGGCCTCGAGGGCGGCAAGGCCCGGTCCCCAAGGGCGAGGCGGGCGCGGGCCGCAGCGCGGGGCCGGCTCCAGAGGGCGGCGCAGGGCCGCGCCGGAAGTACGGGCCCCGGCGACGACCTCGTTGTCCGCAGGGCCTCCCCGCCCCGACCCCGCAGAGCGGGCCGTCCAGGGCGCGGCGCGGCCCCGCGCCGCCCTCCGCCCCCGGCCGCCCCCTTCAGAGGCTTATGCGGAGTGCGCGGGGCGCCGCGGTGCCTACGTGAGCGAGGGGGGAGGGGCGCGGCGACCCGATGAACGGCCGCGTAGGGAATGGGCGGCGGGGGGAGCGGGGAGAATGCGGGGCGATGATGGGGACGAAGGGCCTTCGCCGCCCCCGCCCTCCGCCGCGGGCAGCGCCTACCTGCAAGTGACCTGCTTGGTCCAGCCGCCGCCCGGCCCCAGGGCGAGGGGCGGCACGGCCGCGGGCCCGAAAATGGTACCCGTCGCTCCCGCGGCGGCGCTCGGCCCCAGGACCGCCGCCGCCGCGGCATCGGCCGTTGTTCCCAGAGCCACCGCCTCAGCCATTACTGTTTATCCCACACACGGCGACAGCACCGGAACTTCCGGGAGCACATCCTTCCGGGCGGGCGGTGGCGGGGTGGAGCGAGGGGAAGGACCGCCCCCCTCCGCCCGGCGAAGGCTTTGATTGGCGGAGCCGGAGGGGGAACGCCCACTCGCTCCAGAATGTTCCCGCCGCGCGGTGCGGCCCTCACCCGCCCACCGTGGGGGGGGTGGGGAGGGGGCGACAGGATGGCGGGTTGAGCTGCCTGCTATCAAAATTAATGCTTTGCTGGTCATCTCCTTCATCTCTAGGAGATTGTTTTTCTTTCCTCATGTATTCGCTCCTCTGCTGTAGTTCCTGCTGGCAGAGAAAATGACAGCTGCATTTTATGATGCATAATTTTAATCTCAGCAGACCCCTCGGCCTGCTGGTGCTGCCCCTGTGTATTTCAGCAGTACGTTACAATAAACTGTCAGTTCTCCCAGAGCTGAAATAAAAATTACAACTCACTTCTTCATGTGCAAACATTCTATCTATAAAACCTGACCCAATCTTAACTTCATATTCTATTTGTTTATTTTAATTCTGCTGAACATGGTGGTGTGCATTCCCACCTCCCCATCCTCCATTATGCGTCCCTTTTTATCCACAACAAAGTTGAAAACCTTTGAGAGGAAGCAGTCCATGCCGCTGGTAGATCAGGAAGAAAACTGTCGGGCTGTTGAAAAGAAAATTGTACCTTCATTTTAAATAGCATTCTTTTTCTGTGAGCTGTGATTTTCTGTCTTTCTTGTCTGTAGTTTTTCCCTGACTATGTGCTCCCTGACTATGTACAGATGGGGTACAATTCAGGCACATACGAGAGTGCAAGGGTGGCATGAGAGTGGCTGGGGCCTAAGATGGCAGTTCCCGGTAGGCAGCAGGAATTTGCCATGCCAGTCTGTATTCCCGGCCTCTCCCATGTCACCCAGCAACCAGTTTAATATTAACCCCTGCTCCCGAGGCCGGCAGGAGGAAGTACGAGCAGGAAGCTTTGGGTTGCTGCAGGCGGACAGTACTAAAAAGTCAGCAATGCATGGCAAACAGAGGAGCACGTTATGCACAGCCCCATGGTTTCAAAAGCTGTCCCCAGCAGTTCTCTGGGGCCTTCTCCTCCCCATCATCTGCACACCTTGGTCCTGACTGCTGGCCTGGAGTGCCATCAAAGAACCGCTTGAGCACCCGTATAATCTCTGAAATCTGCAGGTTCCAAGTGGAAAGCTGAGGTAGACATCCAGCAAGTTGAAGGGCTGATTTTTCACTTTGTTTGAAGAGAAAAAATGAAGAAACACACTATTACCATGACATACTGATACCACAGACTGAAATGGGTGTCCATGGCTTAAGATCCTGTTAAAATGATCTTGATTTTAAGAGAAAGATGAAGACTGAGAGATCAGCTTGATTACCAGATCACCTCCTCTGACGGCATGCCAAAAAAGCTAATAGCTCGGATAAGTTCCTACATTACTGCAGTATTTCTAAATCCACCTAACTAAGATTAAAATGATGTTGTGAGAATCTGTATGTATTTTTCATAAATGTCATTTTGCCTCCACATCTGGTTTTCAGTACCTCTGGCCACCCATCCTCACAAGAAAACAATACCAATTACAAAATCCTCAGCATCCATTGGTTGTATCTGAGGATGTGATGTGCCATTCCTTCAGTTAAACTCCCTGCAGACCATGTAGCAGAAGACAGGGGTGGATTTTCTTTGTAACTTTGAACTCTCCCTGAATATGTTTATTCATGTAGAAAATAAAGTCATTCTTTATCACCAAGTTAAATAAAAGTTACAGAACACTTCTTTAGAAAGGGATGAGCATAAAATATGAATGCAGCTTTAAAAACCTCTGTTTTGCAGTTTCCAAACTGGTGGATCACAGTAAAATCAGACACTGTTTACTTTAACATAAAATAAATATGTTAGTAATTGCTTTTGATAGTTTTATGTTATGCGTGGAAGTTGCATAGAATCATGCCTTCCATACAGTAAGTCAGTGCCTTTTGGGATAGCCATCTAGCTCTGAAACGTGACATTTTCTGCAGAATACAAAATCTACACATGCATAATGTCAGTGCATTAGATCTCAAAGTGTCATGGCTTTTTATGATGCAACAAACATTTTCTAGATTCAAAGTTCTTGTTTGAAACCACCCTACAACTGTTAGAATACGATGTCCTTGTAGTAAGAGACTGTACTGTGCTCAGTATTTCTCTGCATCATGAGGAGTTCCGCTAGCATGAGACCTACAGCACTGGAACAGGCTGCCCAGACAGGTTGTGGAGGCTGCGGAGTGACCTCATTGCAGCCTTTCAATACCTAAAGGGAGCCTACAGACAGGAGGGGAATCGACTCTTTGAAAGGGTAGATAACTGCAGGACAAGGGGAAATGGTTTTAAGTTGAAGGAGGGGAGATTTAGGTTGGAAGGCAGGGGGAAATTCTTTGCAGAGAGAGTGGTGAGGTGCTGGAACAGGCTGCCCAGAGAGGTTGTGGATGCCCCATCCCTGGAGGTGTTCGAGGCCAGATTGGATGGGGCCCTGGGCAGCCTGGTCTAGCATTAAATGGGGAGGTTGATGGCCCTGCATGTGGCAGGGGGGTTGGAGATTCATGATCCTTGAGATTCATGTTCCTTGAGGTCCCTTCCAACTCTGGCCATTCTGTGATTCTGTGATTCTATCGTAGGGTACCTGCTTTAACAGGGGGTTGGACTCAATGATCTCTTGTGGTCTCTTCTAACCTCTGCCATTCTGTGATTTTTCTCTGGGAGGCTGAGAGCTGCATTTGGCAAACCTGCAGGGGAAGCATGACTGCAGTTTCTCTACGTTTTATGAATATGTACAAACGAATCCAATCTACAGAGACACTGTTTTAGTGATTCCTGAATTCATCGATTTAAAAAAAAAAAAAAAGCAGCAAAAGAATCTGAATTATAGAGCGAGGGAAAAATGTGGCACCACGTGAACAAAAATAACCCCAGAAGCAATCCTGGCCATGCAGCTACATCGTCCCTTTGCCCCAGGCAGCACTGGCCACAGCACTGAGCTCAGCCGTGGTTAATAATAAATGGCTGTCAGCCCCACAGCTCCGGCCCCTCCGTCACGCCTTCTGCCAGGGCTGCCCAGGCACAGCTCCAGAGCCCATCCAGCCTCGCACACGCAGCGACAGCGCCCGGAGGTAAGAGGCACACCAGGCAGAAATGCACCAAGGCAGGTGCGTGGGGTGATGGTGAGGGGACGTGAGCAGCGTCGGTGTGGAGGAGGGAGGAAGGCCTCTTTGCGTGAGAGCTGTGCAAAACCTGTGCTGGGGGTGTGCACAGGTTTGTTGCGGGGCCTAAGGTCGGACAGGTCTCGCTGCTTAGCTTGCCAAGCTTCAAAACTTCCAGCTGGCTGGCCGCCTTTCCAGCCCACACCAGCTAATTACTCTCGGGTTGCAGGTGGGGACAGCTGGTTTGTATCCACAGCCCAGCACGGCTTGGGCACTCCTGACTGCTGCGCTTCAGAGTCTGGGGGTTTGTTAAAATTCAGAGCACTGCTAGAGCAGTCCAACTGATCCCCAGCGTAACCTTTGTTGGTCTATGAATAGATTCCAAAGCTGACTTTGCCCCAGAGAGCGAGGGGTGTGTACACACCCTCAATGAGAGCAGAGCATTTACATGAACTTCTCAGGCTGCTGGCTGTGAGCTTAGCACTGCATAAGCAGGGGCTGTGAGCATGAAGCAAAGCTTGTGCCATGTCTGTGCAACAATAGGATTTCATGAACTTTGTTTAGATTTTTGTCTTAAAAATGGATTTTGAATGTAGAAAAAAATACCCTGGTTTTGGTTGGGTGTGTATTGTGTGTCATGATGATGTATGGCTTGATGGTTTGGGAGATGTCCCACAGAATCAGCTCCTCTCTCCCTGTTACACAGCCCAAACTATATAGCTGAAGCCTTTAGATTCTGAAAAAAAACAAATCAAAACAAAACACATTTCCTGGGTGTTCTATGCTTCTATGGCTGTAATGCCACACACTGTGCAGAGATAAGAGCCATGTTCTGTTAAATGTAACACAAACAGAGTACTGCACTCTAATTAATTTCCTATCTAAATTAACAATAGGTTCAAAGGACTGAAGAAATAAATTCTTTCCTCACAGTTAAGGGGTGAGGAATAGGAAGGCTTGAGAGATAATGGCCAATTGCCCAGCAAAAATACGTGTAGCAGCCTGGAGTTGAGCGAGACTGCCCTGGGGCCCAGAACAGACCAGCCTCTTAACATTTGCAACTCTCTCCTCCTCTTTCTCTGTCCTGAAATGAATTTAATTAAAGTGAATAGGAGTTGCTAAGAGACAGGAGGAGTTCTGGAGTTCTTGCTGGGGCTGAATTGTGCCTCTGCTTCCAACACTTCATGCTAAAAAAGATGATGTAACATGAGCATACATAAAGCACTGTTGGCTCTAGGAAGAGCTGCTCTTCCCTCTTTACAGTTACAATCTGGCTTCCCAGTCCTCAACGTCTTTCTTTATTTTAGAGAACTGCTTGTTTCCTCTGAGACACCAGCAAAAAATAGTTACATTTCTCTATAGTATTCCTACAGTTTTCTCCTTGTGATCTTTTGGGTTGGAGGTGACAGCAGCTGAGCCTGCAATTTGTCATGAACAAGTAGCTTTGGAAATCAAAACAGGAACTTCAGAAGTCTTTCTACTTTCTACTTGTTACTCCTCAGCACTATCCTTTCCTCAGCACTATCATGATTTCAGCATCAACAACGGACTAGCTGAACTCTTTCAACTCTGTTTCTTCAGTTTAACATTTTGATTTGGCACCCCAGCTCATGCTTGAAACACAAGAATTTTCCAGGCAGTCTTCTGGGCAAACCCAGGATTGTTCACTTTCCAAGATCAGGGTGAGGGATGGCAGATTTAACTTCACATGGTCACATCATTGCTAAATTACTACTTCCATTTTTACCCAACTTTTGTAATCTTAGGACCATCCTTCTGTACAGGATGATTGTGAAGATAACTTACAGGCTGGCAAGACATGTGTCCACTGAGGCACATAGGACCACGCAGGTGAGAAGATTTCTGCATGGTGAGTAGTGTATTCCAGAACAGTCCCTGGATGGAAAGCATCTTCCCCAGCTGAACACAGCAGGGACCTCGTTGACAATGTTTTGAGCAAAGCAAAGAGCTGCTTTTTTAGCTTTCAGGAAGGTATTTCAGGTCCTAAATGCACAGAGAATTTCCATTGTTTGATAATAACACTAAAAATAGGTGACATTTTGATGTATAATAGTCTTACTATATATTTACTCTTGGTGCTTGCATTCTTTTAAAATATATCATTATTCAGGCACGATTACAGTGCTCAGTTCATTCACAGAAATGTTAATTTAAAGTAATATTAAAGTAATATTATTGGAGCCAGTAGCAATGCAGCTGTAATAACGGTGGGAGAATAACATTCAGATCATAAGAGGAGCATTATTTGTATTCATTGCAGTAATTTGTTTTGTTTTTTTTTTTAAATAGTAAATAGTTCAATCACATAAAACACAGTTTTAGTCTTCATGAAGTTACTTGCAAACCCCTCAAAAAAAGAGCTGAAGAGAGGAATGAATGTATTGTGATTATGACAAATTGCCTTTTATGAAATAGCTCAGTAGTAACTGCAAATACCCCTGTCAATAATTGACTTCTTTATGTTTATCTCCAGGTGCTTATTTCAGGATTCAACCCTCCATACAGGAAGCCCTGGCGGAGGGGAGACCAGTTGTAGCCTTGGAGAGCACCATCATTACACATGGCATGGCCTATCCTCAGAATCTGAGGTTGTGGGTTTATGTTCCTTGTTCAACAAAGTTGTAAGAACAAAGTGAGGGGAAATGTCAGGTTACTAGGGATACCGAATTTGAGCTCTGGTGTAAAAAAGTTGTATTTGGACTTTCTAAATAGAGCAGAATCACAGGACACACATATTCATGCCTATTTATCTCCTTGCCCAACAGCTTACATTTCTGGCCTCTTTTGAAATGTGGCAGCAGATAATACCATCATTTACTCTAAGACAGAGATACACGATTAATGACTGCACAATGAGAGACACTGAAAACTTCCCTGTAGTTTCTTTTGGTATACCTTTGGTGATACAAAAAGGATTGGAACACAACACTGAAATCTGCTCATTGGCACCACTCAGAGCAGCTGCTGTGAGAACTGATGGTCCCTCTCAGTGCCTTCTGTGCCCTATGCACAGTTTGAGTAGTTGAAGATTGCCTAACATATGTAAATATACCTGCTAAAAAAAGATAGAATATCCCACAAATGATCAAGTATAAAGCCTGCAAAGCTTAGAAAGGCCTAGTTTTTAACCTTAGAATATCTTCAACTTGCAGCTTTTCAACACTGTTGGTACCCTGTATCTAACTGCCTATACTGTGAAAAATATATCCTGGTCATTTGAGTAGAGTTGAATTATCTGGGGTTTCTGTGAAGATTTGTGATCTCAGAAATAACGAGGATTAGATACAGAAAGGTTCTAATTTGAGAAGATCCCTAGTATTTAGTAGTGTATTGTACAAATAGGTTTGCCTGTAAGCCAGGCTATTTTACAGCTCCTGCCTCAGAAATGAAGCATAAAGCCTGTCCATTGCTGTCCTTAAAACAGGAGCTCTGAATAGTTCTGCACTGCTGCAAAATCAGGTGTAAAGTTTTGCCATTAGGAAGATACAGAAGCAGAACTGGACTTAGCTGAAATCCCAAAACTGCACAAAACTGGAAACTGGGAATGCCAGCCATGAATCTCGGCAGGTTTCTTGTCTGATTGTTTGCCTCACTAATTTTGTGATTGTTGTTTCATCTATCTTCTTCTAGCATGGCCAGAGAGGTAGAAAAAATTGTAATGAGAAATGGAGCAGTGCCAGCCACTATTGGTATTTTAAGGGGTCGAATCCACGTGGGACTCACAGATGAGGAACTTCAGTTCTTGGCAAGCAGTAAAAATGTAGTTAAAGTGTCTCGGAGGGATCTTCCTTATGTCCTCAGCCAGGTATGATATGCAGACTTTCTACTGTGGTGTTTTCAGTACAGCAACAGGGTGGTCTCCAGCTTCAAGCCAGCTTGCTTTAAGCCTCACTGAGATACCACATGTATGCAGAGTCAAAATATATCTGAGTCAGGGAATAGCAGACCTGAAATAGGCTCCTGAAAATTCACTCAGGATTGGCTGGCTAAGTGAAGAATATTCATATTGGCATGATAAGGCATCATCATGTTACACATGAACTACGTGACAGCAAGTCACCCCAATGTATGCACATAGTGCTAATGATCACGTTAGCTGCCCAAGAACCCTCCTGGTTGAAAAGCCCTGGAGAATGAAGGCTTTTGCTATTATCAGACCAAGAACAACTTATGTAGCAGGGATGATGAATCCTCTGCCTTTTTGCAAAGAATGTTTGTGTCAGAATTTCACTTAACTGTGTCAACAGGCTGTTGTGACACTGCTGTTTGTCAGAACACAACCACAGCTGCCTGCATGTGGCATTCTCTGGGTCATACTGGGGGCTGCCTGTGACCTGCTTTCCCATATAGGGTTTGTCTGGTGGAACTACTGTATCCGGAACAATGATTGCAGCACACAAAGCAGGAATCCATGTGTTTGTGACAGGAGGCATTGGAGGTGTCCATCGAGGAGGAGAGAACAGTAAGAAAATTAATACATACTACATTCATCTGTGAGGAGGAGGTGGGTCTCACCACGTATGAGGTTTATGCCCTAGTCCATATTGCTCTCTGGAAACCTTGATGTGGCACAGCTTTGGCAGTGCAGCTTGTGACCTTTAAGTACATACTTTTCTTTTAGCTATATATACTCATAGTACAGTGTAAACACACCACTCCACTGAGTGTTATCTCTTTCTGATGTAAATTCCAGACTGGGGGTTTCCAGAGGTCAGCAAAGCTTCTGTGGTGTTTCTCTGCCAGTTGTGTCAATATTGATATCAAAATCTTCTTATATTCCATTTTCTTGAACTTTGTCCTTTCTTTTTTCCAACTCAATTTTTGCATGCTATTTACTGACGTGAACTAACTGAGACAGTCACTGCAAGGCTGCACCTCTGCCCTTAATCAAGTGACTTCTTTGTTTTCAGTCTTTCTTACAACCTTAGCACCTAAAAGTATGCTTTAAAATTGTAATATTTGTATGTGGATCAGAATGTTTACAAAAGGAGGCAGATATGGCTTTTTAAGAGGGCAGATCACATCAGCACTATCACAAACAACAGCTGCTTGTCCCTTGACAGCTCTGGATGTGAGTGCTGACTTGACAGAGCTAGGACGAACTCCGGTTGCCGTTGTATCTGCAGGAGTCAAGTCTATCCTTGATATTGGCAGGACATTGGAGTATCTGGTAGGTATCATGAGCTGCTGAGCATGAAAGCAGGTGATTATGTATGTGGTGTACTGCATCCAGCAGTGCTAAGTGGGCCCAGTGATGCTGGGGCAGTTATTAAGCCTAAGATTCTGACAAATAATTATTTAGAGGATGTGAGGCCCGTTTTTTCAATTCTCTAGTCCTGGGGCTATTCAGGCACTGGGCTGCCCCCCAGCATCATCCTGTCTGTGCCCAACAGGCTGTTGCAGCAACTGCTCCAACTGAGCCAAAAGCAGCCCAAGCCATGGCCTCTTCTCCAGGCTCACATTCACTTTTTTCCATCTACTGGGAGAATGCTCCCACACTGATGGACCAGGCAAGCTAGATTCATCAGACACTAAAACAAAGCCATAATTAAATTAAGAAACAATATGATTTTTAGAGTCCATTTTTAAGGTTTGTTATATTGAAAACCACCAGGGTCAGTACTTCATGTGACAGCCAGAGTCAGTACTTTCCAATCCAAATAGAACTCATTTAAATTCCTGTCAGCTCATGGCATAACTTCAGGTCACAGCTTGTTACCTTGGACTCAGCATTGTGCTAGTGACAGCTGCCCTGCTTTTGATCAGCTCTGAGCAAAGGACGCATGTGTCTCGCATGTTTCAATATGCCAGATTCTGTCTGACTATTTACCATGTCTGGCTCTTTGCTTTGAAAAATGTTGCTGACAGAACAGAATAGAATGAAATGTATTAAACATGCAAAAATAATCAAATCCTGTGCTAATTCTGTGATTCTAAAGAAAGACAGTTTCTAGCTGGTTAGAAGGGAAAAGTCTTATCTCTCTGTGCATCCCATTTCCCTCCACTGATTACCTCACCTCCATTACTACAGGAAACTCAGGGGGTCTGTGTGGCTGCCTTTGGAGAGTCAAGGATGTTCCCAGCCTTCTTCTCAAGCCAGAGTGGCTTCCAGGCACCGTATCATGTCCAGGACGAAGAAGAGGCAGCTAAACTTATCGGTGTGTTTCAGCAGGGAAAGGCTCATGTAAGCCCTGGAACAGAGGGTCAAAAAGTAGAGTCATCTTTTGATGTTTGGTTGGTTTATTTTGTTAAAAAGTCTTTGCCTATTATCGTACAAACAGCCTCCAAAGAAATAGGAGAATATAAACTGCTTGCTAGCTGGACAAGACCCTGTCCTTGGGTGAGCTAAGAACAGGAGCTCCAGCACTGTGGATTCACATACTCCGCACCCCCTCTCCATCCTTTTCCTTCAGCATTCAGTTTGTCCAAAGAGAACCTCTATCACAGAATCACAGAATAGTTAGGGTTGGAAGGGACCTCAAGGATCATGAATCTCAAGGATCATGAATCTCCAACCCCCCTGCCACATGCAGGGCCACCAGGCTCCCCATTTAATACTAGACCAGGCTGTCCAGGGCCCCATCCAATCTGTCCTTGAACACCTCCAGGGATGGGGCATCCACAACCTCTCTGGGCAGCCTGTTCCAGTACCTCACCACTCTCTCTGTAAAGAACTTCCCCCTGCCTTCCAACCTAAATCTTCCTTCCCTCAACTTAAAACCATTTCCCCTTGTCCTGCAGTTATCTGCCCTTTCAAAGAGTTGATTCCCCTCCTGTTTATAAGCTTCCTTTAGGGCGGCTGCAATGAGGTCACCCCACAGCCTTCTTTCCTCCAGGCTGAACAAGCCCAGCTCCCTCAGTCTGTCTTCTCATAAGGGAGGTGCTCCAGCCCTCTAATCATCTTTGTGGCTCTCCCTGGACCCTTTCCAACAGCTCTCTGTCTTTCTTGTACTGGGAGCTCCAGACCTGGACACAATACTCCAGGTGGGGCCTCACAAGAGCAGACTAGAGGGGGACAATCACCTCCCTGTCCCTGCTTGCCTCCTCTAATCATCTGCCTGTCCTTTCCCAGCCAGCACTCTGGGTCTAGGCCTGAGCAGCGGTGTGCTGATAGCAGTGCCCTGTCCCCAGAAGCAAGCTGCCTCAGGCCAGCTTATTGAAGATGCCATCCAGCAAGCTCTCAGCGAAGCCAGGTGAGAAGTATCCTATGCCCTAACCTCTGTTCGCTCCATAGTTTTGGGGAAATAAGTGACTTCAGGGACACTGCTAGAGGCATTGTAGCACAGCTTAATCTTGGGTGTGGATGAGCCCATAACAAGGCTTTCACCAGGGTTTTATCTAACCTGAAGCTTGTTTACAGGACTTTTTATGCTATGTGGTTATGGTGATAAATTAATCTGCTTGCAACAGTGCTTCTATTCTGATGCCATTTCAGCCCAGTTTGTCTCAGTAATTTTCTTTACATTTGTAGGTCCAAAGGCATTACAGGCAAAGAACTGACCCCTTTTTTGTTACAGAAGATCAATGAATTAACCAACGGGAAATCACTGGACTCCAGTATCCTTTTACTAAATGGACTGAATAAAGGAGTAGTATACTTCCTATCTCCTCCAATGATGTTTGCTGGAAAATGCTGCCATTTTATTGACAGTTCAGCAAGGGGCAAACACTTCATTACCTACAAACAGATGAAAGCTCAGTAGCTGCATCCTGATTTTTCAGTAGCACCCTTACTGTCCTCCTCCACTTTTGCATTAAAAATTAGATGCCAGCATAAACAGCAGATAGTCAAAAAGATCCTTCACATGTGATCCCTGAGCTTGCCTGCTCTGTGATGGAATCTCAGGACACTCTTGCCCTCAGTGGGACTGTACACTGGGCTTCCCAGACATCTTGGGAAGAACTTGGAACAACTTGGAAGAAACACTCCTGTATAGCATGAATCCTCTTGCACAGGCAAGAGGAAGGCAGATCTACTGGCTAGGATACTGGTGTAGGGTCTGGTAAAGATAGATTCAACTCCAGGCTCTGCTACCAGTTCCTTGGGAGACCTCGTGGCTGGCAGACTGGTTTGAGGGTACTGGAGTTGTATGCTGCCACAAAATGGGGCTTTCAAAGCCTCTGATACTCTGCTCCCAGTGGAATTAATGAAAATTGGGCATGGAGAGACTTGGCAAAAATCTCAGTAGGCATCCAATACTAGAAAGGTGGCCAAGATCCTCAAAAGTTGTTACACTCTTAGATCCAGTTTAGGCGTGAGGCCTGTGAGGCCTTTTCTTCTATTTTCTGTCTGTAAAATGGAGATGTTAGCTTTACTCTCCATGGACACAGAGGAAGGTGAATACTTAAAATTTCAGCATGCTCATACAGTACTGTAACCCAGCATATCTTTCCACTGGATTTTGGCTTCTGGGAATCAAATCTACCAAATCTCACAGCATGCATTTCCTGCTTTCTCCCTCTAGGCCATTCCTGCATAGGCTTCTGTTGGGCCAGTCATGCTCTTTTCCTCAAAAAATGCCATACAGACCTTGCTCTGATCCAAAACAATGCCAGAGTGGGCAGCTGCATTGCAGTGGCCCTGAGCAAACTACAGAAAGCCACGAGGAAGGGGAGCTTGCCTCGCAGAGGGGACACAACCCTGCCTCAGCCAGTGAGTCCCCTGCTGTCCTCCACCTAACACCTGTCTGCTGACAGCACTGAAGATAGTTTTTTATCTATTTCCAAAAGTATAATGTGACTCAGCCAGAGACCAGTCATTCTCCTTTATGCTGGCAGACATTCTCTCTTTAATTGTATTATTTGCAGCTAAATATTCTCTCCCATTCTATATACAGAGGATGAACTGTGACAATGGCCTAATCTCATTAAATCTTAGACCATCGTATCCACTAAAACTTTCATCACTTTTTCACCTTTTATTGTGACCTTATGTACAGCTTCAACTCTGTTTCTCTCAATGCCAGGGAATTTATGTGACTGCAGGAGTAGACTTGGAAGAGGGTGTTGGCAGAGGATATTTTGAGCTGCTGAGTCACACACATTTTATAAATATCTTCTTTCTTTGGCCTCCTTCTCATGACTGCCAGAATTACAAGATGTGCCGCTTATCCCAAATATGATCCATTATAACTCTAATACTCCATTCACGATCTTAGATTTCATGTGTGCTACATGATTTACAGCAAATCTATTTTAGGTAGACTTTAGAGAGCTGAAAAAAGTTTCTAAAACTCATTTGCAGTAGGATTTGTCAACATAAAAGAGTGCAGTGACTCCAGAGGCAGTAACCTATGTCCCCAAAGAATCTGGGAACTTTCCATTTGTGGAGCTGTGCTGCTTTTTCTGGCTTTGTGGGACAGTAAGACAGTGATCTATGAAGTTGCATTGGTTAGGGTAATTTCTTCTGGGAGCTTGCAAGATATGACTGTGTTTTTCTGCCCATTTTTATCCATTTCCTCCCTATCCATTCTTCCTCTCACTCCTGTTAAACAGCACTGCTTCAATCTTTCTGAGGGTTAGTATGTCAAAAATCGTTATATTCTGTGACCACTCAATAAAACTGCCAGCACCTCTGTATGTACTCCATAATGTCCTGCCTGCCATACTGGGGCTGCATATCAGCAGGTATAATTCAGAAAACAACGCTAAGGAAAGATTTCCATTCTTTCAGACTGGAAGTGCACAGACCTGTGTCTAGCCAGCCAAAAAAAGCACAGGCCTTCACTCTGTAAATTAGAAGGCTTTTCAAGACGGTGGAATAAAATGAAAACTGGAACTTTTCCCTTAAATCCTTCCAACCACTTTCTACCTCTTTCTTCCTTTTAAAGGTGGTGATTGGAGGTATCAACGTTGACTTTATAGCCAAGGCGCAGAGCTCTGTCATCCTGGTATAGTATCTATAGTAGCTTGCTTATCACTGCTGCCATTTCCAGCTAGTTTTACAGAATTGTGAAGCCAAAGAAGGGCGGTGGGGGTATGATGACAGTGCATGTTATCTTTGTGTCTGTGTGAGCATACAAGCACACACACAGGAAGTGTAGTGCTGTGTATTTGGTGTGTTGTCTAGGTGGACACACACATGTTGATCTGCTCTGTTCATGTGCTGAGAGTCACTGCCTCTCAAGGAGCAGAGCAACATATCATCCTTACAACTCCACATATCACTGGCTTCAACTGGTACCTCGATGCAATTCTTCGATACCAAAAACCCAAAGAGCTGTTTTAGTAGAAGTACTGCCCAAGACAGTCACGAAATACATATGCAAAGAGCTAGAAGCAATGGATGAAAGCTCTTACTGTGCTAACCTATATGTAATTCAAGATTAGATCCTATACTGAGGAAATCCCCAGATAAGAGCCAGTTCTGGCTGCTTCAGGCTGTCTTAACAGCCTGAACAGGAGCCAGACTACATGCAAAGTACCCAGAGTGGTAAGAAGCCTTTGAGGAAAATAGCAGTCACAGCTAAATGAGAGCCATCTTCCTCAATCATAAGAAATTTAATATGTAAAACAAACAAAAAAAAAGGATTGCTTTTAATAAATAGGCATTTTAAGCTTTACGAGACCTTATGTGTTTCAGCATGGTTTGACCAAGAAGCTAAAGACTTGCAGGCTTCCTCCTTGCAAACAGCAGTCATTATATGATCTTCAATTGGGGCCACCTGTAAAGACCTCTCAGTCAGATAAAAGAAGACCAGCTGGTGAAGCTATTGCTAAGGAAGTTGGAAATTAAATGATATGGAAGCAAAGATGAAACTGTCATAATGGTTAAGGGTGACATGTGCTGTAGCATCAGCTGTGCAGGCTTTCAAAACCAGAAGTCCAGCAGTTTCAGCTGTGATCAAACTGAGAACACACATACCCTGCACTAAGCTGTTAAAGCAAGGTGCAATTAAAGGTAGGCAAACCACCTGTTTCCATAGCAGCAGTGAGTGCAGACCGCTGGGCCATGCCTGGTGTGATGAGGGGCTGAGGGCAGTCACAAACTCCATAGGGAGCAGCTGGTAAGGGAAAAGGAAGATTTTTAATGTTGTATAGTAGCAAGCCCTGGAGCTGAAGGCCCATCACAGCAACTAATCAAATGCTAAGCTGCAGGAGGATTTGGGAACTGACAACCTCTATGGTTAGGCACAGAAGAGAAAGCAGGCTCAATGCTATTGCTCTGCTTTGGCTTTTAAGGATTTTTCTAAATTGCTTAGCACCCAGCAGGTCCCACCCTTATGCATGCTGTGTTTGTTGTAGAGGCTTGCAACACATGATGTCCCGTTTAGCAAGAAAACAGCAGTATTCTGTACTGGTTTTAACTTGCACGTGGCTTTCAAGGCTACCCAGAAGTGAAGTGCCTTTTAAGTAACTATTTGCATGTAAGTAACCAGCAGAGAAAGATGCACACTGTCTAGGTTTGGGAAGGGTGCTGGACAATTAACTATGGTTATAATGGTTTTAGAATATCCAGAAGAATTATAGAATGGCTTGGGCTGGAAGGGACCTCAAAGATCATCTAGTTCCAACCCACTGCATCAGGCTGCCCAGGGCCTCATGCAGCCTGGCCTTCAACACCTCTAGGGATGAGGCATACACATCTTCAGGAAGAGCAGAGTCTTATCTTTACATTAGGAATTCAAGCTTCTTAGAATGCAGAAAGAGGGTCCTAGAAACTCTTTCAATTCCTTGAAGTCTTGCCAGAAAGCATCGGCTCAGTCATGTTTCAAACCATCTCAGCAAGCCCGTTTTCATCTTTCTTTCCCCTGAATGCAACAGAGAATAGATACTCAAATACTGCTACAGATTGAGCTCAGTACAGCTGAGCTGGCAAGGTGTGATCACAGTCAGTCATCTCTTTGCCTTTACAAGCAAGCTGCTACTTCATCTCTCATCGCACCCACTCTAAAGTAATTTAGCAGCTTCATTTCTTTTAGATTTTGTGGGGTTGTACAACAGCATGTAGCACCCACGGCTGTATGCCTGCGTGGCAGGTTGGTACATCCGCTGTTAGGGTGAAACTGGGCTTAAAAAACCTGAAGCTGTGCCACTGGGATGCGGGGGCAAACTGAAAGAGAAGAGCAGCATGCCAGGCAAAGAAAGGAGTCGTGTATTTTCAACGTTCCTGATGGCATCAGCTTTGAAAAATAGATGATGGTTCTGCATTAAGTAGGGTTTGTGCTCATTACCAGTGACAGTTAGTATCCTCTTTTAATATTGAAATAGAGGACCGTGTTCAAAGCTATATTGTTTGACTTGCCTAAACAAGCATCCTTGCTTTTTGATTTGAAATATATATATGTATTTTCACTTGGCTTCTTCTATTATGCATAGTAAGTTGCAGAGCTAAAATAGACAGGCTCAGCGCTTTGGAAATCTGCAACACTCAGTAGGAGACAGTCACAGATGGAAACAGCCTTAGTCCTGGCAGTGCCAGTGGCAATTCAAGGGGAGCATAAGCAAATGTAACAGAGAGGCGTTTGGGTTAATGAGGAGTGACAAGTAGTGGAAAGGTGGACAGAGGCGATAGGTTGCTTACATGGCATTCTACTCAGGTTGTCCAAACAGTTCAGGGCTTGGAGAACTGCCAGGCAGAAGAGCAGAGGGGTGGAGAATTAGCACGGTGTCTTACAGACTGCACAACTGGGGAAAGCCAAGGGAAACAAAAGGAGCCTGGAGGTAAAACAAACAAACAAACAAAACAAAACAAAACACTTAGAAGGGAGAACAGCCTCTTACAGTTACAGGACTGGATGAAGACAGTATTGTGTACTAAGGACATAGTATTGTCTGTAATTTCAAGGCACATGCCAGGGAAGAAGGGTCACTGGAGAGCTTTGATGCAAGTTCAAAGAATGTCCAAGAACAGTGAGAGGAGGGAGGAAGACTATCTTGTACCCTGAGATGGCAATGCATCTGCTTGGTTAGAAAGGATAGAATGTTTATAAGCAAGAAAGATGAGCATATACACAGGTAATCTTGTGTGCCTGGGCTGACACAGGGCAGAGAGAGTCTGGACCTGGAGCAGCACTGTGTGGGTATGCACATGCTTCAGTACTTGCCACCCAAACACTTGTTGGGAAAATTTTTGTTCCAGCAGGCTTGCTTCATTATCTTTATCCCAAAAAGAGAGAGAGGAGTTGTTAGCTTTCTTTATTTGACCAAAGGGAGAATCCACTGGGGCATGCACCTATGGGGTCTCTCAAATTACCAGGGGAAACTTTTATCTCTGTACCCAATGCTAGTGAGCTGTTCCCCTTTTCCCCACTGTCTTGGGGTTCATATTCGTCTCAGTTCACCTATTGCACGCTCATCTCCCCAGTAGGTTCCCCCCACCTTTGTTTATATATACTTTCTAACCTGGATTCAGAATTTGTTGTTTTGTCCAACTAGAATTATCTTTGACTACTCTAAAGTCTATCACTCTGTTCTGTTCAGCACACAAAATTTACAGGCAGGTGCTAAGCTAGCATCTCCTGCCATATACCTGCAAGATAAGTTTGTTTAACTTGTTTTCTTCTTCTCAGATCTTATATTGCAAGGACATCTTATTCTTTCCTCTTTCATGTCACAGCCTACTCTTGAAAAGCTCTGGATTATCCATAAGATTATTAGGAATGCCAGTAGCAAGCTGTCTTCAGAAATGGAAAATATGTTTCAGGATTTTATGAATCAAGAGCTTTAGAGCAATTTGATAGTCAGTGATGAGGCCCAGAGAGATTTGGACATTTACTGAGACATTTACGGACTCTTCTGGCAGGAGAGCTGGAGGAGGGATGAGGAACTGTCTGTGCTCTGGCAGTTTGGCCGTTTGTGACAGATGGATAAAGGCAAGAGAAAGGAGAAGCTGATAACCACAAAAGTGGAGAAAGGTTTTTGGAGAGAGAGATGTGTGGGAAGAGAACGATAAGTTAAAATAAATAAAGTACTGCAGAGGCAATACTGGCGAAGGCAACAAAACCTGTTTTATCTTCAAAGTGAAAAAAATAAAACCAAGCAAACAAACAAACAATTGCTTGTAGGTGGGAGCTAGGTGGCCTGGAAAACAGTTCCAGAGCCCATCGGGTCTGGGTCAGTAGCTCCAGAGTCCCAGTGCTGATGTGAGCAAGTAAATTCAGAAGGTTGTTCTTCAACAAAAACACTCTTCGGTGTTGTTCAAAGAGGTTGTAGTCAATAAAATCAAGATAGTTATGCATGGAGAGACCAAAATGATCTCGCCTTCTAGGCAACAGGCCTTTTATCACCAGAGCTGATGTGTTTAGATAGGCTGTGGGAGTTTGCAGTGCTTGCAAACCTAGATGGTCTCTATTTGCTGCCGTATGTTTCAGCAATATTGATTTCACTTCAGATGTTAATGGAGGCATGGCATCTATACCAACTAGCTCTTCCAACTTTGCTTATAAATAATTTATTCCTCCAGGGTGGCGGGCAGACAAACACTGGAAGAGTAAGACGAACTTTTGGCGGCGTTGGAAGAAACTTGGCAGGTGCTTATTGCTTGGGTTTGCCTGTGGGTGCCTGCCAGCTGTGATTTGTCCTTTGGTACTCCTTCAACAGCAGGAGCTCTTGAGCACTGTTCAGATCTGGGACACATTAGGCAATACATCAGGGGACAGACTGCCTGGAAAAGGCAAGGGATGATCCAAAAACTGAGAAGGAAAGGAGCCAGGCAGAGGGCTGGAAAATAAAGAACCACAAATATGAAGTTAACTAGTCTGTAGCACAGTGGCCCCAAATTGAGGTTAAATAAGCACCGCTGTTCTGCAATGACTGCTGAACAGCCTGGTCCTCAGTGTTGAATTAATGCCAGGTTGTGGTTGCAATAGGAGTATGTCTCAAGGAAGGATTTGAAATGAATATACCTATTCAAAGGTGACTGACTGTGCACCAAGGACGAGAGGAACTGGAGCACAGAAGTTACTGTAGGAGAGAAAGGGCTACAGTCAGTAGCAACAGCAAAGGACCATAGCATGCCTGGTGCTATAGCACACGCAGGAGCAGGCCAGTGTGAAATTAAGAGTGCTGAAATTAGCAGGGGGAACATAACATGAAGATCTTAGGATTACTCTGGCTTTTTGACCTTTGCCAAGTCTTCCTAAGACAAATCTGCTATCACTTCAGATCACAGATGGGGAAAGCTTGAGGAAAAAATTGCAACCCATTCACTGAGGAATGAATTGTGGTAACCTGAAGGGAGAAGAGGAAGGGTTTCCCATGAACCCATTAGTAAGACAGCATTGCAGGACAGCCACACAGCAAGGCCACACAAAGAAGTGATGTCAGCAGGCCTGAATGCTTGTGATGGGTACAGGAAATGTTGCCAAGGAAGTGCATAAGTTTCCTCTGACAGACCTGTGAATGTCTTTTCATTTGCTTTTAGACTGCTTAAGCCGTCTTGGGCTGACCCCTCTCCTTCTGTCAGCTGTGGGGAAGGATGAACATTCAGAGTCCATCCTGCAGTACTGTCACCACATGGTACGTTTCACAGTAATGGCTTTTCAGAAGCATGGAGGTGATGGCATTACATAAAGGAAAAAGTATTTGTAACCCTGGCAAACATAAAAGCCACCTTCCATCACATCTCATCACTAAGAGGGAGAATAATCAATGCTGCTTAGATACACATCATTAAAAGCCAAGGAGCTACCCCCAGAACGCAGACTAGATGTACACAGAGCTTTAAGTCTGAACCACGTGGTCTTAATTCAGCTCCAGGGTGCAGTGTTTGAAGGAAAAAGAGAAGTAAATAAGGAGGAACTGTAAAAACAAGTAGGAAGCCCTCAGCACAGCCAGAAATATGCAAAGCCTGATCCTTGGAATAAACAAAGCAATGCCAAAACCAGCCTGATTTGGGCTATAAGACAGAGAAAGCCTAGAACTGGGAGCCAAGGCTAGGTACCTCCCAGGTTCAGAGGAACAGAATCTTACTGCATACACACACAACTGTACACCAGAGGAATGCTCGACTTCAGTAGCAGCTTGTCCTCTGACACCAGGAAGCCAGGAGCAACCCCAGTCCAGAGCATCAGGCACTCCTCTGGAGAAATAGCAGAGCTTAGGGCAAACCAGGGCTATGGGTGGAGACCCCAGCTGAGGCTGGTAAGGGCCATTAAGGCCTATTGTTGCCTTCAGGGCCCTGCTATACAGATAGAAAGAGCACCTGAGGCCTTAGTACTGGTAATTTGAGCAGCTCAATGAAAATAGCAATAAGAACTCTCTTTTGGTATATAGAGGCTTTATAGCTGCAGATTTATAATCCTTCTTCTATCTGAGCACAGTACAGTGAACAGCCTTTCAAGAGAAGGTGGAGTAGGACAGTTTGCCAAGAAATCCTGGTCTGCAAGAAGCCTTACCAGCAGTGTTGGTGATGATCTTGCCCTTAAAACTTCAATATTTCCTGTGAACTAAGTGGGGAGAAGCACTTCATCCTGGAATGTATATTCCAAGCAATGCCATGGGTTCTCATAGCAGATCATTCAGAAGGCCCATAGAGGAAGGACACCTCACAGCTATACCTTTGACTGTTGTAAAAATGGTTCTAAGGCTACCATCAAAGTCAGCCTTCCTGCTGTGCAATCAGTGAGATGGCTGCTGTAAGCACTAGCTGGACCATGCACCAAGATGTGCCCAGTATGCCATCAGATTTGTCACACAAGCTGTAGGAATGGATAGCTAGGGCAAGCAGTGCTCTGCAGGATGCTCTGCCATCACAGCAGAGTGACACAATGTATTGAACTGCATGGCAGAGGCCTGTCATTTCTTAAATCTTTGCTGTGGCTCCTGTTGCATTACAATATTAATAATTAGCCATCTGCCTGCACTGCCTAGACCAAGATACCTCTGGAATGTTGCTTGTCTGAAGTGAGAAGGGAGGATGAAGGGAGAACAGCAAGCTGGGCTACTGCTACAAATTGGGTGGGTGCAGAGAAAGAATACTGAAGTTGAGCCAAGTGTAACAGAGAGGAGGAACACGCTCCTTTTATAACTGTTCTCGCTGTTTTAGGACATGAGTGCCATCCTGCAGCTAGAGGGAAAGAGCACAGCTACTTACAGTGCTATGATCACCAGTGCTGGGGAGCTGAGCATCGGCTTGGGAGATATGGACATCCACCAGCAGATAACAGAGCAATACGTATGCATGCCAGCTGATTTGCAGCCTTCTGCTTATGAGAAGCAGTGTGGAGGTGTGACAAAAAACAGCTAGTAGAGTTGTACCAGGAGGGAGTGGGTGTGCAGAGGGAACATGGGAATTCCTGAAGTTAACCCCAGATATTGGCCACTGAGATTGCAGTGTGGCAAGCTACCAGAGGTACCTGGTACTGCTTACCCAGATGGAACGTCTTCATGTTTCTGTTCCATAACAAGTCACCATTGCTATCATCCCATGAGATGTAGGCAGAATCCCCTGCACTGATGAATTTCAATTAACCTACCATTTTGGCATCTTAAGGCCAGCAGTAAATCCAGCCCACCTGCAGAAATTATATTTCCCCCTTTTAAGAAAAAAAACAAAAGCAGACAGAACACTGCCTAAAGTAAGTTTTCCTGTTCCGTTCCTACCCTACCATCTCTGTTGTTTCTCCATGCTGAGTTGTACAAACAGGCACTGTTCCTCAGCATGTCCAACCCTTGGAAACATCAGGGCTAATGGAAGCAGTAATTGCAGATTGATTTGGTGAAACCCCCATCACTGCACCCTCCTCCCTACTCGTTCTGCTGTCAACAGAACAAATCCTGTACTTCATGACTAGCAGTGACATGAAAGTTAAGTGCAGTTTACTTATTGGTGGGCTCTTAGTGAGGGAAAAATATGGTCATTGCTCCCACTTCCATCCCCACCCTGCCTCTCCCAAGCCCTGGCACAGAAAACCATTACATGACAGATTAGTTCTCCTGAGCTTTACGAACCAGTTGTGGCCAGTGGAAATTCTGATCCAATCTTCTGCTGCAAAGTGCATTTTGGCAGGCCTTCTTTCATCCAGGATTAGCAGAAACACAGAAGGGAGGCTGCAAGAGTGCCTGGCGTTTAGGCAGTGGTTGTGAAGCCTCAAAGAGGCAAGAGAATGAGCTGCAGCTCCTCACTCCATCCTCAACCTGCTGTCTAGAAAAGTACTGTAGCCACTAGATATACAACTGGACAAGGCACGAGCAGACCAAGGGAAATTTAATATGACAAAAAAAGAGCCAATCTGTGTGCCTTCACAAGAGAATGACTTAACTCATGTTCCTCCACCTAAAAAGGGAGCTACAGGCCAAAAGCCCTCAATCCCCCTGGGGCTGTTAGCTCTGGGGTTGTTGTTCAGAAGGGGCTCTGCCTGTCAAGTTCACCTTTTAATGATGGGAAGCAGAGAACAAGAAGGGGAAGAGATGAGATAAATGGAGACATCCAGCTTCCTTAGGGAATCGCTTTTTTATGTTCATTCCTATGTTTAAGAGCTGCAATACAAGTGAAAACCCTGCATTCTGAGTATGACTAGGAATCATTTTGTCTCTCTGCAATAACTCGGCCTGTCTCTGCTCTGCGTCTTGGATTTTGACTAGGTGTCCCAGTTCAAGGAGAACCTGTGCCGGGCCCCACTGGTTTGCATTGATGGAAACGTGCCTCTTTCCACTATCCAATACATCTGCCAACTCGCTAGAGATCATCAGCTAGCAGGTAAGGAAAACCCACCCAGCCCTGGCCCCATGGCTCCTATGGGTGCATGCACCAGGGTGCTCCATGTGCTCTGAGCACTCTCCACTCCTTGCTGGAGTTATCCAGCTCTTGCCTGACATGCTGTGTTACCCAGCGCTCCTTTCCATACACTGCTACTCTATTTGAAATGGATGAAACACTTGTGCTTTCTCTGAGTTTGTCTCATTCTGCGGCTAAGTCACATCTGCTGTAACGTAGGAGCTAGAGCCCTTTGGCACTGCCAGAAAGCAAAAAAAAACCTGTTCTCTTTGCCTTTAATCTCAAGGCAAGCACAGATGTACGTTCTTCTGCCACTCTGAGCAGTGATGGAGTTTGCTTCTCAGAACAAGTGCTGAAGCATCATTTGGGAGGATTTCTCTTCCACTTCCCATAAAATACAGTGCTCCTTCCTGACATGCTGAGGACCCTTCACAAGGCTTCCCAAACCTCTGCAGTTTCACCTTCAATTTTAAGAGCAAATCCTGAAGAAGAAGGAGATGATGTTCTTAATATTTGGCAGAGGCTCCCAAAGCAGACAAAGGGAGTAACAGACCCTTTATATTATATCATTCCAGAGCCAGAAACAACTTTGTCATTGCTGAGCAGCAAAGAGGAAAACTGGGGAACCCTGGACACTGGCGTGGAGGAAATCATAGTTAGGTTTCAGATACACTACAGAAACAGCCCCAGCTGTACAGATCACATTAAGCCTTCTGCACTCCGTCCTGCTCAGATACAGAAAAAAACCCACTGATTAATCAGTTAATTAACCAATTGCAATCTTCCTTTAAAGTGTGCTACGAGCCGACAGATGAGAACAAGGCCTCTAAGCCATTCCTCTCAGACAGCTGGAAAGCACTCACGTACATTTCCCCCAACCTGCAAGAGCTAAAAGCAATAAACCGGACTCTTGGGAACCCTCTGCCAGCAGGTATTGAACACTCAGAAGAGTCAGTTGTGCTGACTTTGCTTATTTCACATAACCTAGATTAGGAGAGAGCATTTTCCTCCCATTTCAATCACACTGGGTTATAACACTGTGGGAATTCATAAGCAATTTTGGCGTCCACCTTTCAGCCATCTCTGTGTGGGTCATTTGGCCCAGGCCAGACCGATGATGGATCAAAGAGCACAGCAGGCCTAGCGTGGCTCCTTGTGCAAACCAAGAGGTCCCGTTTTCCTCACTTTGTCACTGAAATAAGAGCAATCTCTAGTTTATAAATATCTCAGTGACACAAGATGTTCTGAGGGCACCTGCCCCACATTAACATTCTTTGGGGAAATGAAATACCATGCTGTATGCAAGCGGGATCCCAAAAGCATTAAAACATGGAAGTCATGCTTCAGGATGGTGTTTTTGATCTCCGTAGATATGTGTAGTTCCAGGGAAGCATAGGATTGACAGTATGGAAATCTAACGCTGGAAAATTTTCCCATGAATGAAAGGAAAAAATATCACCTTTTCAGTAGTGCTCATAAATAGGAGCATCGTGTGGGCTGCTCCTATTTACAGGCTGCCAGCCCACAGAAGGACCCACTGAGATCCTTCAAAGTTACACCCTAGCTTTTCCTCCTCTCTGTCTGAAGAGGCACCATCCAGGCTGGAGGACATTATCAAGATGGCAGCAGCCTTGGCCCGCCCTTTGCTGTCCCACCTGTGCTGTGTGGTCGTGACCCTTGGTGCTCATGGTGTCCTACTGTGTGGCAGGAGCCTGGGAGGGGGTATCTCTCTTCGTCCAGCACCTCACGAGCAGGTAAGGGCATGGAAAACTGACTCAGGGCTCTCAGCAGCTTTTGTCTGGGACTGCAGAGCATGATTGCTGTTTCTGGTGGTGAAGCGGTGATGCTGGGAAACATGGCATCACTGCTGGCAAGTGTTCGTGTTTGTGGGTGGAATGCACAGATCTGAGGATTAGCGAAGAAAACTGAGTTGTCTGTCCTGGCTCCTGGCAGCAGTGCTTTCCCTGAATATTCATGACTGCAAGCTTCATTTTCAGGAACTTAAATCACTGATCTCCTTTGAAGTGTGAAAAAAAAAAAGATTATTAAGATTATTGGCTTATTTTTGTCCCCCTTCCTTGGCATCTATGCATGCTTGGATGACACCAGCCCCACCAGGCCACATCAGTAGTGCTCACTGACCTCCTTCTCTCCCCATACAGACCGCTGCTGCCAGCCTCTGTGCCACCCACTACCCTGCCATCCCTGTCAGCAGGGAGGAGATAGTCAACGTCTCAGGAGCTGGTGACAGGTACACTGCTAACATCTCTGTATTCCCCAGCAACATGTGGAACCATCCTAACATGATTTCTTTTAAATTGTACTACAGAGATAAACTATGTTGTGCTGCTTGAGGAGCAGGCACAAGAACAGGACTGGTTACTGAGATTCCTTGCGATGCTCACTAGAAATGTCTCACTGAGCATCTTGAAGCCAGCTTTGCTCTTATTGGCTTTGCTTTTGTTTAAGATCCAAGCCCTCCACAGCCATCTAGTATTTCCGGATTACTCTGGGCTGAGCTGCTGAAAGCTGAGTAAACCACTGTACATCAAAGCAGCCTTACCAGCTAACTGACTTACCTCCAGTGGAAGTGGGACTGATGTTCAGGAGCTGGAGTTGCCCTATGAAAGCACTCCATCAGGCTCTGCACTTGCCTCTGGCAATAGCTTGTGCTTCAGAAGAGTCTGCTGTGCAATTCGCCTGCCTGTTCACACTGCTGCACGTAGGGATAGGAAATGACACACACTATTCCTAGCTTCAGTGATCACTTCTCCGTTTGTCAGGGAAGTACTTCATTATGCTCCTTGTTAACTTGTCAAACTCTATGTAGCAGTCAGGTTTCTGGTGGATTTCTATTTATTTATTTATTTATTTATTTTCTTCATGTGCTGCAATAATTGATTCTCTCCTTTCATTGCCTTGGGCTAGACCAAAAGGCCATATCTGACAGATATTTCCTTTCAGTTTTCTTCTCTTACCAACCAGTAACAACATAGCAGCACCTCTCCTTTTTTCTGATTTAGATGAGCAGAATAAAAAGTCATTTTTGTGAAAACTCAATATTTTAGCCAGGATCAATCAGTATCTTCTTGCCAAGCTAATTCATCCACTTAACACCAGAATCCTTCTTTACTCCTCATATCCCAAATTGCCTCTAAGGTGAATTGGCTGCATTCAGCACAGCACAACGAAGGAGGCTGCCATGTTGTGCAATGCTGTAGATCCGAACACAGCAGTGGGAGAAGTTCACAGGGTCTCTGAATATTGGGAAATGAATCCCATATTGATTTCTTCTCCAGAAATCCCATTCCTCAGAGTCTCCTGGTTCATGCAGGAGTTTTCAGTGCACTCTTGTTTGTCCAGGAGTGTCCTTCTGGCATCCCTTGGCAGCTTCTCCAAACTCCTGTTGCATCGAACAGTGCCAGAATAGGCCAGAAGTGCTCTCTCTTTGGCATATAAGCAGATGAAACGGCCTGGGCTGCTGCTTCCTCCAAGGGATACATGCAGCAGGCTACAATTCAGGGCTGGACTCACAGCTCAGCCTTGAGAGCATTAGTCCTTCCAAAGCACTGTCTGAGGGATGCTGATCCAGGAGGCCCCAGCCCTGCTCCAATCCCAAGGCTCTCCTGCCCTTGGAGATGCTGCTCTGCAGCTGTTTGCTGCCTGCACCCAGCTGCCCTGGCAACACAACACTGCCTGCCCGCACACGGCATCGCTAGGGGATGCACCCCCAAATGTTTACTCTCAGTCTCTGGAGCTGTTGAGAGATTGAATGGTTTTGGAAACCACAATCTTCTGTGCCTTTGTTAAGAAGAAGAAAAAAGAAAAGAAAAAAGAATGATATTGAGGTAATTAGCGAGAGTGCAGAAAAGCAGTCATTTTCCCTTTCACATAGATTAGCTCATTAATCCTCCCTGCTGCCATGTTTTTTTCTGCCCTTGCTTCCTCCTCTCAAATGTCATTATCTTCTCCCTTCATCTTCCCTTCTCCTTTGTCCTTCCCCAGTTTCCTAGCATCACTCTGAGTTTAGCTACAGACAAATGCTGGGTGTTCCCAGCTGAGCACCAGCAGCACCCTGCATGTCCCCATGCCTCAGCAGAGCTGTATTCTGCAAGACAGGAAGGTGATAGCATCACTTCTGATGCCTCCTTGCTGCCTGTGGGTTCAAGTACCCGTTGTTCAGGCACTTGCAGCATTCTTACTGGCTAATCTCAAATGGACAACCACAGATGAAGCTGGCAGAAGTCTGAATCCAAAATCTCATTTCAGCTTTGGATTTTTTATTTTTCCCATCCCCTCTCACGTTACATAGGGAAATTTACCTCTCTGCCCATCTACACCTTCCCAATGGGGGTAAGGAGGGAATGTAATGAGGTTTCACCAAGGAGCAGAAAAGTGACAAAATAATTAAAGAGGAAGGGAAAAATATGTTCTTCCCTCTGTAGACCTCTTTCCTCTCTCCAGCCTGTCTTGGAGAACTGTGGGGAAAAGAAAATGTGGTGGAAATGGGGTGTGACTTCAACTTTTCAGATGAGAAGCAAATAAAATGCAAATCAATGGCACTATTTGTTCCTCCAAATTTTAAAATAAATATAATAAACGCCCACAAATTTCTTATTTTCACCTCATTCCTCCTCTAAGACATACTCTGCTTCTGTAAGCATTGATCTGGATTCACAGAATCATTAAGGTTGGAAAAGACCACAAAAATCATTGAGTCCAACCATCAACCCACTCCCACCATTCCCACTAACCACGTCCCTCAGATGAGTTGTATTCCAGCCAGCCATGTTCCTGAGGCCAAAGCTGTTCCCAGGGCTCAGAATTGCTGTTCTTTCTCTCCACAGTTTAATGGCAGGAATCGCTGCAGGGATGCTTGCCAACCACGACACAGACACCTGTGTTCGGATGGGCCTGCTGGCTGCACGCTTGTCTCTCTGTTCCTATGAGCCCATTTCCCCAGAAATCAGCACGTCCACCATCAGCCAGGAACAAGTCCAGAGCAGGCCCTGGCCAGAAGTGAAGGTATGGAAGCTGGACTAGATTGACATCGCTTTCTCATCCATTATCTCCTCATGCACCCAGCAGTACTGGAATTAGGCCATGTTTTCAGTTTCAAGCTCAAAAGCTGACTGGAGGACTTGAGCTACTGGTACACACTGCTTTTTAGGAGGTGAAGTCCCAATGGAGTGCATCTGGCGTCAACTTGTACTGCAGTGTTCACATTCACATTTTTCTGTTGTTGCTTCCTCTCTCTCATGAGTTACAACCACTGCTTTGGTCTTTTGTCTGCTGCCTGCCAATAGTTTATCTCACATTCCTATGGGGAACACTCACCTGTTTTGGTTTGGTGTAAACTATCAGGGAAGGCGGCCCCAATCCAGGGAACTTCTTTGTAAAGAAAGACTGGTTTCTGATCCTCAGATCTCCCATTTCCCTGAAGTTACACTCCCTCACATCACCGTTCTTCATTACCATGGTAGCTCCTCTGTCACTGACTTCCAGATCTCCAGGACCATGTCTGCAGGCAGGCCCAGCAGCTGCTCACTCCTGTTTCTCTCCAGGAGGTCTCATGAACCACAACCAGTGTTAAGCTGCAGCTGACAGGGACGTAATGCTGTATGACAACCTCATAGGCCTTCCCAAGCTAGCCAGCAAGTGTTGCATTTTCTTGGTCATTTCCAGGGAGGAGGGGAAGCACAACCCTTGTTTACAGATGGTCACACAAGCTGTGTAGCTCAAATGACTGTGCCAAGTTCACAGTGAGTCCATGGCAAAGCCAGGAACAGAGCAGTGACCCTCTCCAGGATAGGATTGCACAGCAATTCCTCTGCTTTTAACACATCCGGCATCTTTATTATTAAGGACAGCTCTACTTAGGTCAGTTTGGTAGGAAGTCTGGCCACTGCCTTTTGACAGGCAGCTTGCAGAGCCAACTTGCCCAAGGCTGAGCCATTCCCATCCAGAGGTGAGGACAGTGGTCACAAGAACTCACCCTTGGTCCACAGGGAATACCTACTGAGTAATTACAAATGCCCAAGTGAGGGCTTTAAAAGACAGTGGATGAAGGGTTCATTGGGTTTTTCTCCTTTGTCAGACCTGTTCCAGCAGGCTTGTAACAACTCATCAGCTTGGAGTCTGACAACTTTCCATCAAATTTGGCTAGGGATGGGCAAAGAGCTGAGAGCGTCTGAGGTCTGTGACAATGCAATGACAAAGTTCTGTCACATCAGCATTATCTTTTCAGGGTATCCAAGACAAAAATACAGCAGATGCCTTTATGAAGATGAAAGGGATCCACACACTGACCAGCAGCCCCCCTTTATCAAGGCCTCAGCTGAAATGCTGTGCTTACGCCACACACACGCACCCATCACTGAGAGGATCTGGGTGGCCTGGTGGGAGGGTGCTGGGCTGTTTGGGAGTGCAGGGAGGGGGACAGGCCCCCACAAGCAGCCTGGTTAGCTCACAGGAGGGGAGGTGGGACACGGCAGGGGCGGGGGAAAAGAGCTGTGCGCCGGTGCTATAAAAGTGACTTCCAACCAGTGCTGGGGAAGGGAGGCAGCCTAAGCTACAGCTCCTGTTTCCAAGCCTCACCGAGCAGAGCATCCCTGAGCCAATCCAGGTCCTGAAGATGGAGGTCTGGGTGCTGACAGCCGCTGCCCTGCTGCTGGCACAGCTCTCCCTGGCCCCAGCACACGTAGAGGCACTGGAGGAGTGGGCAGCCCTCCCAGCAAGGCAGCTTGGAGCTGGGGGACCCACAGAGAATCATCAGCCAGCTGGAGATGGAGGGGACAACCAGGCGGATGGCAGCCACCCCCAGGCCGCAGTGTGGGAGGCTCTGGCAGAGCACCACACGGGCTCTGGGGCTCCCTGCAAGGCCACAGGCAGCAGTGCACGGGACCCCTCCAGCAGGCCCCGCAGGAGCCCACCACAGCCCTTCCACAGCAGGAGCCTGGGGCTGAGCCATCATCTGAAGGGCTACGGGAAGTTCAACAGCGACACGGTAAGCACAGGGCATGCCTGCCCATCGCCAAGGGCACAGGTAGGCTTCGCAGCACCTCTCCAACAAAGCAGGGTGTCCCCAGGGCTCAGCCCCGGGTCATAAGGGCATGCTGCTGGGTGTTGTTCTCCTTTAAATCAGTAATGTGATGGAAAGCCTGCACCGGGGGGATGAGCTGCCCCCTGGGCTGTTGGCATTAGGCTGAGCTTGCTGCCTCCCCTGCAGCACTCCTGTCGCGGCATCCAGAGCCGGCCCTGCCAGAAGCCCTCGGATTGCGGAGGCTGCCTGGGGCTGTACACCTGCAGGCCGCCCGGCACCTGTAGACTGAAGGCTGTCTCCCGGCAGAGAGGTGAGCAGCGCCTGTGGTACCGCGTGGTTTCTGTGTGGCCGCAAGGCTTCAGCTAGCATGGCTGCTCTCTGGGCTTTGTCTTCGCAGGGGGATTCCTGCAGAGCATCCAGGAGCAACGCAGCTCAGCGTGAAGCTGGAGGGGCTGTCCTGCTGCTGAGACCAATGTCTCCTGCTTGAGTTTCATGTTCAGTCCTTCATTAAACAGCTGTAAAAGGTTCTTTCTCTGTGCTTTTCATGCTGTTAGACGCCCTCGGATACTGTATGCTGGGTTTGAGCCCCACATTCCTTACTGCTGCCAACAAGGCATTCACCCCTCCACCATCCTGCCCACCAGCCCGTTTCTGCCACCACCACCACCATTCATTTCCACTGTTTGCTGAGTCCTTATACCCAGCAAAGAAAGGGGCTGCTTCTGTAGGAAGCTTTGGCTTCTGAAGCCTTCTGAAGCAGCAGTGACAGGACCCACAGATCCCCTCCACTCTTTTGTAAGTGGAATTAGGCTCTGCTGACCCTATAATTGGTCACCATGGCCCTCAAATGTGGGGAAGAGGCACTTCCAAACCCTCCAGAAGCCACGCATGGCACAGTGCAGAACAGGGCTGCCAGCATGCAGCCCACCCCTTGCACTCCCAAAGCAGAGGAGGAGATCTCCATTCAGCCCTGCATTGAGGGCCATTGAGGGATTTCTTTCCTCTCAGCTTCAGCCAGCGCCAGGCCCGTGGAGAGCCCCAGTGAAGGTAGGTGAGCAGCAGCAGCAGCTGGCTCCCTAGGGGAGCTGACATCCTCATTTTGTCTCAGCAGCTTACCCAGTGTTAGAATGCTTTGTAATGCCACTGAGATGTCACCAGAGGAGAACCTGCCTGGCCTGACAGGAGTCTCCACAGCCAGACCCCGCAGCTGAGCTCATCCTCAGGCTCCCTATGCACGCAGCTTGGGTGAGGGTACAAGGTCATCGGGCTCCAGAGCATGCAGGCATGGCCAAGCCAAGGGCTCAGCCACTAGATGTCTCCTCCAGCCCATACAGGCAGGTGGCAGATACTCCACAAACACACCCCAGGGGCTGCACACTTTTTAAACCACTCACTTTTAATTATGCTGCGTAAGGAAAAGCCTCTCCTCGTGCCAGGACCCGATGCAGCCAGCCTGTCAGCTGGCAGGCTGATCACGTCCTCAGTAGGTTTAGTGGTTCCCCCTCACCCTCAGAAGCTCCTCCTCATCAGTCCACATCATCCCTGCAGTTCTCAGCATCTTTGCTCTGCAGAGACATGTCCATACAACTCCGTTCCTCCCATCCTCGGTGCTCAAGCTCTGCCAGCTCAGTCCTGTGGCAGTCCCACCGCCATCCTGCAGCACCAGGCGGGGAGGAGGCAGGGCGAGAGGCATCGGTTAATATTTGTTCTAACCCCAATATAAATAGAAAAATACAGCAAAACAAAGAACTGATTAGCTAAGGGATCCGATCTGCTGGGCTGTCTGCAACGTGCTAATGCAGAGTTCAGAGTGCTTGGTCCAGTGCATAGTACTGTCGATATCCAGAGACCTGTCCCAGCAGCCCCACTGCTGTCGCATCGTCCTGTGGCACTGCACATCTGTGTGAGCGCGTCCCGGCCACGGTCAGCTTGCCCAAGGCTGTGGGCCCCTAGGAGCAGGTCAAATGGGAATGGTGGATACATCTGATTTGTTGATGTTAAATGGTAAAGCCATTCTCTTCTGTGGAATGAGGATGTGCTTCGCTCTTTACTTTTTGTGGAGGAATTTCATTTTGCTGCCTGAATAGATGGAGAAAGGAAAATGGGTTTCCCACAGTGACAAGCAAAATAAGTGTCACTCCCCACTACTGTCCCAGCAAACCTGTACAGAGAAACACTGCGGCTGCCAGCCCCAGGTCCTTACCTACAGCCCCTCACCCCGCAAAGCTGGAAGCAGGTGCCTGCAGCACAGGGCACAGCCCTGACCATAGCCTGGGAGCAGCACTGCAGCCTGGGGCACTGCAGGCCTCCAAGCACACCACTCAGACCCCATTTGTCCAGCAGACCTGGAAAGCAAAGGTATTACTGAGCTCACATAGCTAAATTACATGCTTAAGAGGCAGGGCCACCATTCTCACAGACAATGCTTCTCTTTAAATGGACACAAAATACTCAAGGCCTGGGAATCAGCTCTCTTAGCCACGGTGTTCAACCAAGAACTTCTAATCTTGGTCTGGAGCTCTCATTAGAGCTCCTCCACAATGCAAAATGGATTCAAGCAAGAAGAAAATGCATAAGCAGTGGAAACAAGGACAGGTACTGTGGGAAGAGTATAAGGAAGTTGCTAGGCTGTGTAGGGATCGGGTCAGGAAAGCCAAGGCCCAGCCTGAACTACACTTGGCGAGGGATACCAAGAACAACAAGAAAGGCTTCTACAGATACCTCAACCAGAAAAGGACGTCCAGGAGGGCATACTCCTTCCAGTGAGTGATACAGACAGGCTGGTAGCAACAGACAAGGAGAAGGGTGAAGTACTTAACTTTTTTGCCTTGATCTTCTCTGATAATTGCTCATCACACAGCCCTTAAATGCTTGGTTTGGTAGGAAAGGATTGAAGAAGCAACGTTCCTCCAACTGTAAGCAAAGATCAGGTTCGTGACTGCCAGAGGAACCTGAACATCCACAAGTCTATGGGTCACGATGAGATGCATCCCAGAGTCCTGAGGGAATTGGCTGATGTATCTGCCAAGCCATTCTCTGTGATATTTGAAAAGTCGTGGCAATCACGTGAAACTATTTGAAAAGACATGGTGAAGTCCCTGGTGACAGGAATAGAGGCAACATTGCACCTATTTTTAAAATGGGTAAAAAAGATGACCCTGGGAACTACCAACCTGTCAGTCTCATCTCTGTGCCAGGAAAGATCATGGAAGAGATCCTCATGGAAGCTATGCTAAGGCACATGGAAGGCAGGGAGGTGATATGGGAGAATCAGTATGGCTTCACCAAGGGCAAATTCTAAAACCTAGTGGCCTTCTATGTCCACTGCATCAGTGAACAAGGAAAGACCAATATCATCTATCTGGACTTCAGTAACGCCTTTGACAGAGTATCCCACAGCATCTTCTCTCCAAATTGGAAAGATATCGATTTGATTGGTGTACTGTTTGATGTACGAAGAACTGGCTACAGGACTGAGTGCAAGGAGTGGTAGTCCAGTGCACAATGTCTGGATGGAGATTAGTGGTGAGTGGAGTCCCCCTGGGGTTGGTGCTGGGACCGATACTCTTTAATATCTTCATCAGTGATACTGACAGTGGGGTCAAGTGCCCCCTCAGCAAGTCTGCTGATGACCAAGCTGTGGGGTGCAGTTGAGACACCAAAGGGATGAGATGCCATATAGAGGGACCTAGGCAAGCTTGAGCAGTGAGCTCAGGTGAACCTCATGAAGGTCAACAATTCCAAATACAAGGACTTGCACTTGGGTCAAGGTAACATCCAATACCAATACAAGCTGGGGGATAAAAGGATTAAGCACAGTCCTGCTGAAAAAGATCTGGGGGTACCAGTGAATGGCAAGCTGAACATGAGCTGGCAATGTGCCCTCACAGCCAAGAATGTCAACCATATCCTGGGCTGTGTCAAAAAAAGTGCAGCAAGCAGGGCAAGGGAGGTGATCCTGCCCCTCTTCTCTGCACTGGTGAGATCTCACCTGGAATACTAAGTCCAGATATAGAGTCCTCAGTACAGGAGAGACATGGACCTGTTGGAGTGTGTCCAGAGGAAGGCCAAAAAAGTGATCCAAGGGATGGAATATCACCCAAGTGAGGACAGACTGGGAGATCTGGGGTTGTTCAGCCTGGAGAAGAGAGGCAGTGAGGTGACCTGTGAGCGGCCTTTCAGTATCTAAAGGGAAGCTACAGAAAAGAAGGGAAAGACTCTTTAGCAGGGTCTATGGTGACAGAACAAGGGGAAATGGCTTCAAGATTAAAGAGGGGAGAGTTAGGTTGGATATAAGGAAAAAGTATTTTACAGTGAGGATTGTGAGGCACTGGGATGGGTTATCCAAAGATGTAGTTGATGCCTTGTCCCTGGAGACTTTCAAAGTGAAGCTGGATTAGGCCCGCAGAGATGCCACCAGATCTAGCTGTAGGTGTCCCTGTTCATTGCAGAGAAGTTGGACCACATGGCCTTTAAAGGTCCTTTCCAACTCTAAGGATTCTATGACTCTATGATTCAGCCTGGGCTCCTGGGCAATTCCCACCACTGATCCTCCACAGAAAACCTGAAGACTATGGAGAATGTGTTGCTCATCCCAGCAGAAACTGCGACTACCTCTCCTGAGTCACTGTTTACTCAGTTTCCACCTCACATCCACCTGTATCCTTTAGGATACACATAGCTCAAAGCCCACATTTTGATTCTCCTAGCCTCCAGGCTGGAGACAGACCAACAGCATGTCAAAAGCTGGGATATGTGGCTGGGCACTAATCCCTTCAGGACTCAGTTGTTAACAGAGCCCTGCTACCTGTCAGAGGCTCCTCTGCTGCCAAATCTCAAGGCAACAAGAACAAGCTCTGTGAGAAGCCAGTGGTCTTGCTGGTTGCTTACCAAGTCCTTTCAGGAACCGATTGACTCCACTCTGCTCCCCACTGGGAAGTGTTTCCAGGTACTCCTGAGCCCGTACCTCAAACAGACCTGTAGGAAAAAGGAAGTCAACAACTTTTACTTTACTATCCTATACATAAAAGAGAGTGCATCTGAAAAGATACTCTCCTAGCATACCAATACACTTGTACAAAGGAACAATGTACCCAGCCTCCCCAACTCACTGAGTGCACATGTAGGACAGGAGCTCTGGTCCTTGGCTGTAGGACTCCCAGCACACAAACCCTGCTATGACCTCCTCTCCACCACTGTAAGGCTGACTGATTTTTCTGTCTTACAATGGGAGAGACAAAACCTCCATTTACTCTGCTACAAACACAGCCTGCACCAGCACTTACAGAATCATGGAATCATAGAATGGTTTGGGTTGGAAGGGACCTTTAAGATCATGTAGTTCTAACGCCCCTACTATAGGCAGGGACAGATCCCTCTAGAGCAGGTTGCTCAATGCCCCATCCAGCCTGGCCTTGAATCCTTCCATGGAGGTGGCATTCATAACCTCACTGGGCAACCTGTTCCAGTATCTCACCATCCTCATAGTAAAAAATTTCTTTCTCATATCTAGTCTAAATCTCTTCTAGTTTACAGCCATTTCCCCTCATCCTGTTATAAGAAGTCCCTCCCCAGCTTTCCTGTAGGCCCTTTTCAGGCACTGGAAGGCTGCTATGAGGTCCCCCCTGAGCATTTTCTCTCAGCCTCCCCTCATTGGAGAGGTGCTCAGCCCTCTAATCAACTTCATGGCCCTCCTCTGGATCCACTCCAACAGCCTTCCCACCACCTAAACTGGCACTGCCCCTGCACAGGCACTGCAGCCTCAGCTCATGCTGCTGGAGCTGGTGGCATTTCCTACCCCTCCTGCGAGTGACAGCAGAGGTTCCAGGAATGCAGAGCCTTGGCAGAGCCCCTCACCTCTGACTCCCTGCTTCCGCAGCTCTCGTTCCTGGATGAAGCCCCCAAACATCTGAGTCTCCATGAAGACCTCCAGGAAGCGCCGGAGGCTCTTGGAAGAGACGGACTTGCGGAAAGCCTCACGCTGCAGAGTCCGCTCCTCTCGCTCGTTGGGAGTCAGGAAGAGGGAGTAGTGGCCCACGATCTCCACAAAGAAACGAACAAAGGCCTCGGATACCACCTCGTTCAAAGGGCTGGTCTCTGAGGAGAGGAGCAAGAGGCAGCAGTGAAGACAACACCATAAGGAAAAGCTAGGAAAAAATGTGTTCTCTGTTACTCATTTGTATACACAAAGCCATACCAGCCTTGGGTACAAACAGAAAAGGACTGGGCTGCTATTATTTTGGAAGTCATCCAGCTTTCTCTCAGCTCCTTCTCTACTAGGATATGCCCTCAGTGCCCCCCCAGACAGCTGCCTCAGCCCTG